TGTGAGGTATGGGGTAACGGTCCGGTGTAGTAACGCTGTTGAGCGCGCGGTAGTCGCCACATGGTCGCCAGTCGCCTGAGGACTTCTTAGGAACCATGTGTAATGGTGAAGCCCATGGACTGGAGGATGGGCGGATGATGCCCAGATCCAGCATGTGCTGAAATTCAGCGCGGGCTATTTTGAGTTTGTCCGGTGCGAGGCGTCTAGGGCGACAGTGTGTCGGTGGACCGCGCGTAACGATGTGATGTACAATGTCCGTAGTCGCCTGAGGTAGAGTATCCGGCGGTTTGCACAACTCCGGAAATTCGGAGAGAACCGCACGGAACCTATCGTTGGTTTCAGGGACGTACAAGAGTGGGCTAACAGACGGGACATCACTAGGTGTCCCGCGAGTCTCACATGTGGTGAGATGGTCGATGAGCTTGTGCCAAACCGGGTCAACCATCAGGTTAAAATGCCGGAGAACGTCTATGTCTATGATGGATTGTGGAAGGTCGGTGATGATAAATACTCAAGGTAAACTACGGCGAATACCGAGGTTCAGTGTGAATGAACGCCCGCCGTAGGTTTTGATGGGCGTGCGATTCGCTGCGACCAGTTCCACAGAAGAATGTCGATAAAGGTCAGTGGGGCGAGGGCGTACCACACTGACCTGTGCGCCTGTGTCGACCAGGAAGCGTATCCCGGTTGTTCGATCTGAGACGAAAAACAGGCGACTTGGTTGTGGCGAGCCGAACACGGTCGTCGCCTGGGCCGGCCGGCTGACTAGTTTCCCGACCGCGGCGTATAGGTGCATGGTTTGAAACACCTTTTGGCGGTGTCACCGTAACGACGGTGATACCAACAAATACCGTTCGACGGCGAACGAGAACGAGGGTGCCGGGGTAATTAGAGCGCGAGCGACGTCGTTGTCGCGGGCGGTCGCGTGAAATGGTTAGCGCTTGAACCTGTGCGACTAACGCTTTGACGCATGCTACAAGTTCAGCGTTTTCGGAGGACGGCGGTGGGTGCGCTGGTTGGGTGAGAGTGTGGACAGACAACTGGTCAGCATATACCCTGTCAGCCATTTCGGCGAGTTCCGTTAGGGTATAGCGTTGTCCGAAGTACTGCAGGATCGATGACAAACTCTTTGACAGGGCTTGTAGCCAGGACAAGCGAAGGATATTTTCATCGATGTTCAGGCTGGCGGCCTGGCCCTGCATGTAACTTAGAAGATTTGTGGGAGTGTCGAGACCGTTGTCTCCTAGACGTAAACCACCTAAAAGTTGTTTCAGGTGGCATTCTACGGGCATACCAAATCTGCCCAGAATGGCATCGCGGAGGGCGTCGTAGGGTCGGTCTGCGGGTGGATTACAGACAATGTCACGGAGCCCTGGGGCCATAGATCGAGGGAGGTAACCAACTAGCTGAGTGAACTTGGCTAATTGATTGGTTACCCTGGCGAGCTTAAACTGAGCCTCGACCTGGGCCAGCCAAAATTCTGGGTCTTCCGGAATAAGCTCCGGTATACGAGCTTGAAGACCCAATACGCTCGTCTCGTCCCCTGGTGCGCTAGTGCTGTGCTCCTTTCCCTCCGTGTATGGGTTGAACATGTTGACCAAGGGTGAGAAATCAGGTATATCAATAAATAAATAAATAATATTAAGCCCGAATAAACGTGGATCTTAGGGTACTGGTACCGAGAGACGTAGTAGTGGATGGACAAAACAGGTACGCCGAAAACGAAAATGGTAAATGCGATGAAATCGTCAGGGCGAAGTCAAATAGATAATAACCGTATACGTCAAAAAAACGAAAAAATTAAAATGTTCGTGCGGGGCACCAGACTCAGCCGTTGGGTGCTAAAAAAAACGTCAAAAAAATACGGGCTCACCAATTTAGCACCGCAAGTTGTGTCTGAAGCTATGACGCGTCTACGTATTCAATCGTTCGGGCTTATGACGAGGTTTTCCAAGGAAAGAACGAATTGAGAAGGAAGCCGAGTACGAGCGTATGAAGTGTATGTGACCTGCAGCGGAAATTGTACAGAGAGCAAGCGCAAGGTACAACTAACCGGAAATTGTGCCAGGGTCGCGGTCATAAGAGTTCTCGGAAAGGAGGACAATAAAACAAAAAAGGGTCTTTACATTGATCACGGGAATGGCGATAGAAGATGAAAGGAATGTTACTACAGGTGCAAAAAACTGGACTGCTTCTGGCTCCGCCGAAAGTCCTGTGATCTGTCCTGTCCTGTCCTGTCCAATTGAACTGAACTAAACTGCACTGAATTTCCTTGAACTCTTAGCGCGCGATGCCCAAATGATATCCTTGATGATCGCGTTGTCTTGCTTTTGATCAAATGTTCGTCTAACGGCTGTCTATGACCGAGAATAATTCTTTTCAAGATAGAGGATGGGCTTGGGTGGTCGTGTTCGGAGCATTTGTTTCACATTATATCACCGCGGGGTATGAAAAAGGATACTCCGTCTTATATGTGGAAATTATTAACAAATTTCACACCAGCTCCGCTCTGGCGGCTGGACTTAGTGGTTTCTCAGCTGCCATTCGACTTCTTCTTGGTAATTTATTTGTTTTATTCATTTGAATATGCAGCTCCGTTTGCCGTTGCGTTATGCAATCGCTTCAATGATCAAGGTGTTGTAATGAGCGGAGGTGTATTGTGCTTCACGGGTCTCGTCATAGCTGCTACAAGTGAGCAGTTTTACGGAGTTGTACTAGGCTACGGAGTAATATTTGGTAAATGTGACGAACGGCGTGTGCTAATTTACAATTTTATGACTTTCCAGGTTTAGGCTTGACACTTGTGTACACACCGTCACTTACCATTTGCACTACATACTTCAAACGCAAACGATCGACTGCTTTGAGTTTATCTTTATCCGGAGCTGGATTCGCGGCACTCACTTTGCCTTATCTGATAGTATATTTGATTGATGAATATGCCTATAGTGGAGCAGTTCTTTTGCTGGGTGCCATCAGCTTGCACTACTGTGTCACTGGTGCATTATTCCGCGACCCTCCCCACTCCGTTTTGACCGATGGCGTCAAACAGGAGAAAATCGTCACTGAAAATAATATTTCTATGAATATCTGTCAGCGCATTAGAAGAAAAATTACCGGATGCTTCACTAATGAGAGTCAACGGCATTCATACAAAGGAATTCTGCGAAACCCTTGGATGGTCCTGTTCCTATTCTCTTTTTGTCTGAATATGATGGGATCCGGTCCCGTAACGACCCTCCTTATTCATCATGCTGAGAATTTAGGTGTAAGTTTTCAAAAATGCTTTTTAGAACTAATAACGTCTGTTCTGTGTTAAATTATGAGCTATATGTTGAATTTTATTCATTCAAATGTAGGGTAAAACCTCTCGTACAGCCCCGTTACTGATTGAAAGTATGCATACATGTGGGAGTGGTAAACTACTTTTCTCGAATAAAGCCATAACGAGATGGATAGTACACCACGCCTGACGTATCGGGGACTTATATGATTCACCACTCCAAGTCCCGGGGCTTAGGTTACCGGTTTCCTTCACTGAAAGGTAAATCCTCGTAACCATGGGGTTTACCCCGTCTGCTGTTCATTACACGACTGTGTGTAAGAAAAAAAGGATATCTACTATAGATGACACCTCGTCATGGTGTCAGCTTTTCTGTAGCGCTTGGATGATTTTATAGGCTTCACTTTTGTTTATGTTTCATCCTTGATTGTTTCACCACTAAACACAGCATCATCTGAATTACATTTTGCATTACCTTTACAAAGTTGCAAAAGCAATATGAGCGTATTCTTATTGCGCATATTTTTCCGCTACGGTAGACGACAAAACAAAGCAATAGTGGTGTTTTCACTTGATACCATCAAAGTAACAGTCATGTTTTTTCCATACCAGTTTCAACGCATGGTTTCGGTGCAGTTGTTGGCCATCGAGGGTATTGTGCAAATCGTGTTTCGTGTATTTGGTGGCTTGGTTCTGGATATTCAATGTGTTCGCCCACACCGTGGTAAAATATGGTCTGTCACCATCGCACTGTCTTCGTTGACTATTCTCTTTCTGGCGTTTGCGGAAAAGATGGCCATGTTGTCATTCCTTATGTCCCTTCGGGGTGTAACACTTGCCGTGTATATATCCCAGCAAGCTGTCATCACTGCGGACATGTGCGAAAAACACCCAGAAAATTTGAAACAAGCCATTGGACTTTCTCAAATAGGAAAAGGTGTTGGGGTACTAGTCGGCTCCTGGTGTGCAGGTTAGTGTTGGTGTATACTGGTCTTTTATCGATGTAAAAGGTGTCATTTGGAGACCGTTTGAAATGATTTTATTTAGTGTTAACATAATTTGAATATTAAACAAATAAGACAGTGTTCTAAGAGTACTTTGTGTATTGTTTTCCTTTACATATGCTTATCAGTGACCTATGTGCTTACTTTTTTATTTTTTGACAATCTCAAAAATGCTTTATTAGTTAAATTTTGGAAGACCTTGCTTCTCACCTTAGGTCTCATAAACCTTTAAGATGGTGTGTGTTCAGTAGCATCAAATGCTTTGATCACTTATATATACACGAGTAGAACACGTTAATGATTTCTATTTCGTACTTTAGTAATGGCTTTTGCTTAGCTTTTAAAAGGAAGAGACATTTTTGCCGCCATGTGCCAATTTACAAAGCAGCGTTAAACAAAGTATGGTGCTTATTGTTAACGATGAAGCACACGAATACTAAAAGTGTGCAGAATCCCGCATCTTTTCCTTTCAGTAAAATTATTATGTAAGTGAATTAAGGTTGATAAAAGGTATAATTTTGTGGAAGATAATGATTGTTCAAATGACACATGCTGCCTGCGGTATCTAAAAGTATGTTACTCCAATATTCTCGAGCAACGATACGAATCAAGGCGACTATTTCTCCAAACCAGTAAGAAGCCTAAAGCGCGTGACCTATAGGAGAGACCTGTTTAACAAAAAATCGTGACTCGCCGGAACAAGTGATAATTCTGTGGTGATGTGCACCAGATAACAACAGCATTTTTTGGAGTCACAGAAAACTTGCAGATAAAAGGTATTGGTTTGCTTATATAGTTATAATAAAACGTTACTGAAGAGCCTTCGACAAAAGTTTCTTTTGGGCTGTCAAGGATGTATTTTTGTGAAAAGAAAAGAACACAGGATGGCTTGAAAGAAAGTTTTCATGTTTAAATGTACGTTTAAAAGACACATGGAAGTATACAGTTGATTCATGTTTATAAATTCAGAGAAGCTCACCGCCAAATTTTGTAACAACCAGGAAAATGAAAACTTTGTCAAGTTAACTATATATATATATATGTATGACACGGGCTTGCGGACAAGCATGGTGCCGATGCCACAACAATAATAACTATAACAATAGCGGAGGGGAGGTTGGTGTACAGAACATAGGAAAAAAGACAAAACCGTTGAAATGGAAAATTACAAATAAATGGGATGACAATTATTTTGTGTGCTTCACCCCACACGTTTTGAAATCTTTTATGTGTTAGTTTGTCTTTTGTATGGGGCACGGGATCTTGACAAGCAAACCTTACAGCATTTGCGCCACTGATTTCTATTCTGAGTCATATTTCTTAGCGTCTCTAACCAACGACAATGGTTATCCCTTGGCTTCAATCTGGAAGGCGGACTGCGCCAACCAAAGCCAGAACTTAAGCCAGTTTTTTCATACCTCTACTCCTTTTCATGGTCTGACCGCCGCGGCGCTTCTTGCAGCCTTGCCCGGCACGTGTAAAGAGAGCACACAAAGGTAGTCGATGGGCAGGCATACGTGACCACGTCATCGGAGGCCGTGTGGAGCGATGACTTCTGTTAGAGAACAACTATCCACAAGCAACACACAACTGTGGACCTCGTCATTGCTCACTCAATGTTCCCACCAGAGCAATGTTTCGGAGACATCGGTGGTCAAATACAAAAGGTCGATTAGCATCCTCTACTCTAAGAGGCCATTTCTCATAGCCGTAAAGCAAAACGCTACAAACTGCGGCGATGTATATTCTTCCCTTAGGGGATAGTCGGATGTCATGGCGGCGCCACAGGTGTCGCAAGTTGGCGATAGCTACGTTTAATTTCGTGATGTAATCTCCTCCCCAACACCACCACCAGCTGCGATAAAGCTCCTGAGGTACTTGAAGCTCTCAAATACTTCCAGCTGATCAAAACAGAGGGTGAGTGCAGGCACAGGTTCCTGCCAGTCTTGAGAAAAGCACTTTACACCTGGAAGGTGCGAATCACATACCATACCTGGATACCTCGATTGCCAAGCGGTTTAAAGCATCTTTGACTAATTTGTGCGTTGTCACCCAACAAGGCAATGCCATAGGCATATTCTGAGACAATAACTCTGTTCCCTAAAAGGAGTTCCATTCCACCGTTTGCTGGACCAGACAAAGCGTTCTGTAGAACATCCTTTGTAATAAAGTTGAAAAGGAATGGTTATCTAAGGCAACCTTAGATGATCTGACCTGATCTGACTCGTTTTTAGGTTAACTAAAAACGAGTCAGATAAGGTCACAGGTTTTTCAGCTTCGGCCACTGGACGGTTCATACTGTGCTTCAACTGCCTGGTAATCCAATATCTGTGTGCCAGATGTTATAATTACAAGAAAAGAAGTAAAAAGCAGGATTGCCCTCGCAAAATCATCAGTCTGAATGGTTTGACAGATAACGCACCTCAGCAAAGTGCTACACCTGTCACGAGAGATAACTAAGGATTGTGAGGCATTGTGCTAGTTGTGCCTGCAATGAGTGGCGTACAAAGAGTCACAGTATGGTAGAAAAGAAGCTGGATAAGGAAGATGTGGTTATATAACTGTAAGACTGCAGCTAGCTATGCTCCGGGAACTCCTTGTCTCAGCAATTATCTAATCTTCGTTGGAATTCTGCGGCAACGCTCGCTTCAACTACCTTGAGCAGTAGTTTGTTCCCTTTGTTTAGTACACGAATAACTACATGACTTGGTAACGGCAGAAAGACAAACGTCTGTCCATTGATCAAACGAACAGTTAACTATAAAATGTATAAAAATATATACAAAATGGTTAACCGCATGTCACTGTGTTGTTTACAATTCTTGTTGATGAAAGAAGAAAACGGCTATTCTCGTTACAGTTCCTTCTATGAAGCGTGTAGTGCAGTCAATTTCTATCGTGAAATGTCGACCGGGGGGGGGGGGGGGGGGGGGNGGGGGGGGAGGGGGAGGAGTAGGGACCAAAATTACGAACAAGACTAGTCATACCCTACAAATAAGTAAGACGACTACAGAATTGACTACCACCCTCTTCACGCCTGCTTCAGTCCAGATCAAACTTTCTTTGTTTGAGTTTATACGTTGTCAATCGGGCTTTTAACACCTGGAAGAGAGAAAAGAAGGACAACATATTGGTGCAATAGCAATAGTTATTGGGACAGAATTTACTCGCTTGTGTTTCAGAGCATATTCCTACAGAATCTACAAACTACAATGATGAGCCACGTACCACTCTTTAACTACTACTAGTTATCAGAATAAAAGATTTAGGTATTAGATCTTTTATCTGCCATGACGTGGACTTTTGCTAGGTCCCACACAAGAAAGTGATATTGTTGACGTTTATTCCATGTCGATAAAGACTGGCTTTATGTGGTTTAACGAAACGGTATCACCTTTGCCTTCGTTGGTGATGACTGCTGCCGCATCTAAACGGCCCAATGGATTTCCGTGATACACGGTTGCATCAGGATTTGTACAGAGTCCATGTAAAGAAAAGTGTAGACGCAAATGGATAAATAAGTAGACTGATGTTCCTTCACCATTTACTCGCTTGGTGGTTTGGTTTATTTGTTCTAAAACCCGCTACCCAAAATCGCCAAAGTCAAAACCTGTCGGTTACCGTGAGGACGCTGGTTTGCCACATTGACAGAGACAACATTCACGCAATATTTTGCTTGAGATGCTTAAATAGTTTTCTAACTGCTGCTCCACATTACCAACGGCAACGCTTCTTACCAGCGTGGGTTTCTTGACACCCTCAAGGCAGCTTCTACGGAAACTTTCAGTCATGCTGATAGGCTGAAGTCATAATGTGTTGCTCTTAGGGTTGCTGAATCTTTAAAATGCACTACGTGTTTGATTGTCATGAGGTAGCAGGAAAGCCAGTGCTCTACATACTGGCTGGTAAGCTGCAACCTCCAGGGAGCTGATATGTATCGGGAAAGCTTTTGACTATTTATGAAAACAGCTGACAAGCGTAAGTCAATATATTGCCTCACCTGATTCAGAGAAAGAGCCAGCACATTATCTGTACACACCTGACACAAACGTGAGTCGGGCGCGCCGGAAATTAGCCTACTATTAGATGTCTGTTTCTACATACCTTAAATAGTTGATACGAGATACAACCACAGATCCATAAAAGAGCATCACAATAAATGTGAAAAGAAACTCATAGGAAGATTTTGGGATCGAAAGGACATGGCTGATCTTGACAAATAATAAAGCTTTTAGACCGTGGGTTGAGTACTGGCTTAAAGTGAAGAGAGCTATCTAGAGAAATTAGTTCTATATCTGGGATATTAATTTGCGCGTTGGTCCTGACTGCTAGGTCGATTGAGGTGGAAGATGTATTGCGAGGAGCGTTAGAGCATTAAGGATTTGGTTTCTGACACCTGAGGTATGACGTATATTGCTCGTGAAATGTGTGAGGTAGTCCAGGTGCCTGACCGTTTATGGAGAATATTCATCAAAAGTGGAAAATTAGGTGATATTTAACACATTATGATCAATTAAAGCAGTACCTCGATCACGGCAATGTCCGATGAGAGCCAATGGTTACTTACAGATTGTGCTGAGGGTGGAGTGTGGGAAGTATTTTGTCGACGAACCCTTTCAGATCTTCGAATGAAGCTTTTATGGATGTTGGAAAGTTGAGATATTTTTATTTACTTTGGAGAAGCTCGGTTTACTAGTTACTTTTACGCAAAACGGCAAGCAATAAAACATCCCCAAAATTTATTAATCTAACGAAATAATAAAGCTGATGGTAATTTAAAGGTGCTGCATGGTGGACCCTGGTGCGTGTTTCTTTCTGGATAAGTTACATTGCTGCGACCGGAAATATGTGGTCTAGGAAGTTTACAGATGTTTATTTTTCATAGGAAGACTGAGCCGCTGTTCGTTATCTCATATTTTGAGTTAAACAATCAGAAGATGTATGAAGCTAACGCTGATGATGTTCA